CAAGAATACTTTACATCTACAGTAATTTAAAGGGAGATGCAGGCATACAGCTCTATAGGGAGTCACTATATAGGGAACCTCTTGTCATTCAGCAGATATTCTCTGAATAGGTTGTATAGAAGGAAATAGTGTTATGTGTGTATGTGTAAAAACACACACACACACACACACACACACACACACTAGAGAATGAAAGAGTTATTTTATTCAACACAATTCTCTTTGTGTTCTCACAGATATAAACCACTGATTAATATATACATAGACACAAGTGTTTTTTTTAATCTTTCGTCAACTATGGTTAAGGCTTATTTTATTACAATACAGAATTCAATTTTGTGTTGTCATAGAGGTGAGCAATATCTTTTTAAAAATAGCGGTAACTATGGTGCAGGTTTTTTTTCTTTGTACATTAATTTCTGTTCTTTCTCTCTCTGTATATATTTGTGTAGCTATATCCATCCACACACCTATCAGAATAATGACACCTCATTGGCAGGGTGTAGTAATTGTTGGTATAGTGACTAATCTGGCCCTGGACTTGAACTAGACCCGGTCAGCTCGTTCCGGAGCTCCAGCCTTCAATGTGAATCAGTGAATCATTCCCCCTCATCTCTTCTCTCTGCCCCCCCCCCCTATGTCATGGAGGGGCTCTGCCTGCATATGCATAGGGGACATGTCGTTTAAAATGGCAGTAATCCTTTGTCTACTGATTAACTATTTGCTTTTATAATAATAAACCACAGCCCTGCTATTCCCTCTGTGGCAGGCTGTATTATCGCCGCAGTTGATAATTAAACTGAAAGATAGGAACACCAAACATTAAATTACAAATGATTAAAAAATACCAACATCTCCTATGGGCAATATCTCACTCGCTTATGTTTAAACATCTGTCTGATTAATAGTCATTATTGTAAGTAATTTGATTTTGGTTATACCAGGTGCCAGCCTATACAATAACACCATTAGGTTCCCTCATGTTCTCTGGCAACATACATGTATACCATTAGATCTCCCATTTTCTCTGTGTATATATTTATATAATTAGATCCCCCTTGTTCTCTGTCTATATAAATTTATCCCGCATATCCTTTGCCTATACATACATCATTAGATCTCCCATTTTCTCTGCCTATATTGATATCATTAGATCCCCCTTGTTCTCTGACTACATCCATGTATATCATTACATCCCACTTGTTCTCTGCCTATATACATTTAAATCATTAGATCCCCCATGTTCTCTGACTACCTAAATGCATGTATATCATTAGAACCCCCTTGATCTCTGTCTATATACATTTATATCATTAGATCCCACATATCCCTGCCTACATACATGTATATCATTAGATCCCCCAATGTTTTCTGACTACATACATGTATAGCATTAGATTCCCCCTTGTTCTCTGACTACATAAATGTATATCATTATATCCCCCTTGTTCTCTAGCTATATACATTTATATAATAAGATCCCTCATTTTCTCTGACTATACACATGTATATCATTAGATCCCCCAATGTTTTCTGACTACACATGTATATTATTAGATCCCCCTTGATCTCTTCCTATACGCATGTATAACATTAGATCCCCCAATGTTCTCTAACTACGGTACATACATTTATATTATTAGATCCCAAACGTTTTTTGTCTTTATATATTCATATAATCAGATGCTCCATGTTCTCTATCTTTATAAATTTAAATAATTAGATCTCCCATGTTATCTGCCCATATACATTTATAATATTAGACTTCCATATTCTCTGCCTTTATATTTTATACATCCCCGTGTTCTCTCTCTCTCTCTCTCTCTCTCTCTCTCTCTCTCTCTCTCTCTCTCTCTCTCTCAAGATCCCCCAATGTTTTCTGACTACACATGTATATTATTAGATCCCCCTTGATCTCTTCCTATACGCATGTATAACATTAGATCCCCCAATGTTCTCTAACTACGGTACATACATTTATATTATTAGATCCCAAACGTTTTTTGTCTTTATATATTCATATAATCAGATGCTCCATGTTCTCTATCTTTATAAATTTAAATAATTAGATCTCCCATGTTATCTGCCCATATACATTTATAATATTAGACTTCCATATTCTCTGCCTTTATATTTTATACATACCCGTGTTCTCTCTCTCTCTCTCTCTCTCTCTCTCTCTCTCTCTCTCTCTCTCTTTCTCTCTCTCCCCCCCTTTAATTCACTAGCTATATATATTTATAATCATTACATTCCCCCTATATCATCTGTCTATGTACATTAGATCCCCCTTGTTCTGTCGTAGATATTTATATTATTAGATCCCCCCATGATCTCAGTCTAGATACATTTATATCAATAGATGCTCAATATCCTGTGTTTATATACATTTCATATCATAAGATCTCCCTATATTCTCTGCCTTTTTATATCGGTAGATCCCCATAGTCTCTACGGTTATATAATTATCCCCGATATTCTCAGTCTTTATACATATATGTCATTAGTAGATACCCCATGTTTTCTTTCTATACGTTTATATCACAACACCCCACATGTTCTCTGCCTAAATACATTTATATCATTAGATTCCACATGTCCCGTGCCAATATACTGCTGTACCTTTGTATAATTAGATCCCCATATATACATTGATATAAATGGATCCCCCATGTTCTCTGCCTGTATATATTTAAATAATTAGATCCCCCTATGTTATTTACCTATATACATTTAAACCATTCGACTCCACATATCTTCTGTCTATATACATTTATCTCAATAGATCTCCCATGTTCTCTCCCTATATACATTTGTATCATTAGATCTCCCATGTTCTCTGCCTATATACATTTGTATCATTAGATCCCCAATGTTTTCTACCTATATACATTTATTCCATTCAATTCCACATGTTTATAGTACATTCATCTCATTAGATCTCCCATGCAAAAAGCAGGCTCCTTATATAAAAGGCAGGTCCCTAATAGGTCGTAGTTTCTAGGTTATACTGGTTATATAAAATATATTGAAGCAATTTAAATGTTCTCCCCCTATATACATTTATATAATTGGATCCCTCATGTTCTCTCCCTATATACATTTGTATCATTAGATCTCCCATGTTCTCTGCCTATATACATTTGTATCATTAGATCCCCAATGTTTTCTACCTATATACATTTATTCCATTCAATTCCACATGTTTATAGTACATTCATCTCATTAGATCTCCCATGTTCTCCCCCTATATACATTTATATAATTGGATCCCTCATGTCCTCTACATATATATATATATATACATACATTTTTTTTCATATCCCTCTTGTTCTCTGCCTATATACATTTGAATCATTAGTTCCCCCTTGTTCTCTACCTAAATACATTTATAACATAGGATTCCACATGTTCTCTGTCTATATACATTTTTCTCATTAGATCCCCCTTGTTCTCTGTCTAATATACACATTTAATTATCATAAAACATTGGGTAGCTTTAGCTCGTTCTCTATCACCATTAACCCCCAGTGACAAAACAGAAACCGAAAGAAGTTTTATTGTAACCTAAACGTTTCTGATCTGAATAACATTATGGATAACAGTTAGATATTATTAAACACAGATCTTCTCACAGAAAAGGAAAACATGTCCTCATCCAGTTTTCTATATGCAAAAAGCAGGCTCCTTATATAAAAGGCAGGTCCCTAATAGGTCGTAGTTTCTAGGTTATACTGGTTATATAAAATATATTGAAGTAATTTAAATGAACTTAGCTTTCCATAATAATAAAAAATAATAGCATTACCTACATAAACTGGCATCTAGGCACAAAGTAACTTTTATGTAAACATTGTAAAGGTGCAACAGATTATACTGTACACACACGTATAGCCTTAGATCTTTTCTACACTTGATTGGATAAGTGAAGTTAATATTCACCCTCCTTTAGTAAATGAGTCCAAGTGTGCTTATACATAATATATATAATGATATCCTCATTGTGATGCTAATAAATTTGCTGGTAAAAGTGAAAAGCGGATGGAAAATCTTGATTTGTATACCTAGACCACACATTAATTATGTTAAAATAAAATATATATCAGTCTTAAAATCACAAAAATATAAAATAAAACAATAAACATGCTATTCTATATAAACATGTGTGTATGTTTATAAACCTTTAAAATAATAAACATTCTGATTTACTTAAGGAGTTGAAAATCTTCACTCAGTCAGTAACTAGAATATCCAATTATATGCAGATGAAATGAGTAAATGGGAATTTGCATTTCACATAATTGGATATTTGAGGCGAATCTTCGTTCTATTCATTAAGAGAAGAATGAAGCGAATCGCAGCTCCTTTGCTAGATCCAATTTAGAAACACAGAAAAATAATACTTTTAAGGATACCCATAATTGACATATTACACATCAATTTGAATTTGTATTCTTTCCATAAAAATATTTAAATGCAATTTAATTTTTTTTAATGAAATAATAAAATGCAACTGTTTTACATGTTGGTAAAAGTCATTTTTTTCTTATAATTCCTTAAAAATATTTAAATGTAATTTAATTTTTTTAAATGAAATAATAAAAATTCAACTGTTTTACACTTATACATGTTGGTAAAAGTCATTTTTTTACTTATATTTCTAGATTCAACGGAGGGCTGCGGATACCTGAATCCATTTTAGCCTGACAACTTCTGTCCACTCATTTAATGTATCTTTCTAGACCTTTGGTAAATCAGGCTGAGTAATATACAGTATATATATATATATGCAATAATTTTTTGTTCCAATCCACCCAGACACCCAGAACTAGCAGAGCACTCACCCTCCGGAAAGACAGCCCTCATTTTCAGGTAGCTGGTGGTGAGCCGGATGATGGAGGCTTTGTCCAGCTGGGAGGTGATGGCGGATGGTAGTGGTAGTAGTTTGGCCAGCTCATAGAACTCCCCATTCTCCTTCTCCCTGCGGGTCTTGGCCGCATTTTTAGACTTCTCCTTCATGGTGACTACTGTACGGTGACTCCAGCAGCACTGACATAATCATCAGCCTCCTCCTGCCTGCTCAGGGAGGGCAGCATGGAGCCTGGCACACAATGGACGATCCAGCCCCGATCATCGATCACATCTCCGCTCTCATCCTCTCCTCTCTACCCCCCAGACTTGTCATCTGCAAGGACTCGGATCGGTGTGCAGATGGGAGCTCCACCTTGCCTCGGAAAATTTAGAAATCAACCATAGGACAGAACGATCGGATCGAATCTGGCGATGGAAAGATGTTTTCAAGCTGCCACTTTTTTTTTGGCGATTCCCAACTGCGACTTAACAAAGTTGTGCCATCGATGTAAAATAATTCAGGGGCGCCTCCATACTGATGAGTCCATTATTTAATGGCGTTCCAATGCTCTTGCTGGGCAGTGAAGCCTGAAGGCTGCGCTGGGTGCTGTGCCAGAGTTGGGATCGGCCAGATTCTGCAGGGCAGGTAGTACAGTCAGCTCCTCCCGGCTACACACAGCTCCCTCCTCCGGACTGCACGCACTGCTTGTGCTACACACAAGCCCGGTCGCACCGATCTCCGGCAAGGCAGGCACATGCAGGATGGAGAGGCTGCAGGAAAGAAGTCAGAGACGGCAGTGGGTAGGCTGCAAGGAGGATAGAGTGGATAGGGCCCCCGCTGAGTGACGTCTCCTAATACACAGCACAAGGGAGGCAGGGTGACCTGACCAGCAGAGGACAGCCAGGCACACTAGGGGTTAACTGATCCGCAGATTGCACGCCATAGGGCCATGCAGTGGGTGTACATTAAATATATAGAGAGATGAAAAGGAAGCTGGACTCCATCAAAGGACTGGACACTAATATGATACAATGTCAGCGAGTGTCTGCTCTGTAACTCCCAGTTCTGTCCAAGATTGATGGAAGAGAGAGATGAAGGCTGATATTTATCAAAGTGGGAGCAAACCAGTTCTACTATATGGCCCCCAGATATCCCCTCTCCCAATACAGGGGACTCTCTCCTCCCCAGAATGGACTGGACACGTCACACCTCCCGAGGGCATTAACTAATTGATAGCCTGCTGTAACCATAGACAGTAGTATCTGTACATACCGCATGTGAATGTAACAGTAGAGATATGAATGGAGAGAGAGAGAGAGAGAGAGAGAGAGAGAGAGAGAGAGAGAGAGAGAGAGAGAGAGAGAAAAAGGGGGGTGGAGTGTGGATATATAGATCGATGTGAGTTACATGGAGAGATTGATAGCTATAGACTGATCTCTGTGAGATAAATTGAGATCTCGATAAATATAAAGAACACATATCTAAAATATATTTCTTTCTTTCTTTTTATCGATCTATCTATCTAGATCTCTATTTATCTCAGATATAACCATATATTTATCTTTCTTGTATTAAAAAAAAAATACTTCACAGTTTCAATTTTAAAACATTGGAAAGAGTATCATGTGTTTATGTTATACAGAGCTCTGTAATGTTCAATAATCTAAGTTCTCAATTTCATAATAATCTCAATTTCAGTGTATGTGTGAGGCTCCGCATGATCTCTGGCTATTCAGGTAAATTTCAAAATCAAATTTAGTCAAATCAAGATCAAAGATTTTGAAAAGACACAAAGGAATATGTAGTGGTAATTTTCTTCATATTCCTATATGATATTATTAGAGATAGACGTGTTGCAGCCACAAGAAGTTCCGCACAGAGTTGGCAGCACTGTGGGGGTCATCTTTCTGTATTTTCCCCTTTGATCACCCCCAGGTGTGAGAATATCACCGCCACCTCTGTAGGGGGGGATTTCACAATGCAATGCTCTCCACAGCCGACTATAATTCTCCTTCCTGAAATGCATCTGATCACAATCTCTTCCGATATATAAACCTCATCTGACCCAAATCTCTGAGCTGAGTTTACTACTGCGGCAGGTTTGTCCATTTGCCGCACATGTGCGATAAAATAACGCCCAGGATTGATCACTGGTCAGACCAGTTTTCTGGCCAGAAGTTATCTTTATTCGATAGGGTGATTTGCTAGCTTGTAAAATAGTGGACCCGTATAGTCCCTGTGGAGTTTAAGATGTGCCAGTGCCTAGTGACCTCCCGAGGTAGAATTCAGGTATTCAATAAGGAGGAGATCGGTCAATAATGATTATTGATGTACTTCATATTTTTCTATGACTTTTGTAGACTCTCATTTGATTGCTTGATGTAGACATGTTAAATCATCCCAATATGTGTGTGTGTGTAAATATATATATAATGTATATTTATACTGCATATTATATACCCCCCTCTCTCTCTCTCTCTCCCTCCCTCTCTCTCTCTCTCTCTCTTATTTTCCAAAGATAATTGGAAACTCCATAGCCTGCTTAAGGATTTATTTCATATTTATTCAGTAAAAACAAAGTATTTGTGAATATGAGTCAATAAATATATCTTTTTTTTTTAGCATATGACTCAGAAGCCACTTTTTTTTAAAGAAAATATTTGCACAGGTATAACACATGTGGGGGCATATTTGTAAAGCAGCAAAAGTGACATTCCCAAAACATTCACATGTGGTTAATCATTCACTCTAATAAAAAAAACCTCATGCACCAGACAGATTCACCTGCAGTGAATATTTGCCACATTCACTGCTTTATACATATGACCTTGGAGCTGTGCACTCAGATTCCTCTGTTTAGTTAAAACGTGCGCTGATTAATACATTCATCTTATTTTCTTTTCTGGGTTTATTGGTGATGAATAGAATAGTTACAGGCGTGTCAGGTAAGACTTTGGTATTAGGAGCAACTTGATACTACAAATCCCAGCAGCACAGCTCAGCTAAAGGCCATGGAATAATATACCCAAGTGTCCCTGTTGTACAGTTTAATGATTACATGAGAACATTTCTGCTACAGAGCCGAGAGTTATATATTTACTGGAATTAACTTCTGGATATTATTGAAGATAGAGCAGATGGAACTACAAGTACCAGTAAGCCTCAAGCAGGTGTTGCCGGAGCTTGTAGTTCCAGAGCAGGAATGATTCATGTTTATCCAAGTGTTTGTACACTGATGTGATCTTTTATTGTGTGCAGGACTGTGACAGGACTCATTTTGGTGAACTTGGTGTTGGTGAAACTCTCACACACTGGGTTGCTTAGGGGAAATATAATAATAATAATAATAATAATAATAATAATAATAAAATATATAAGATGTGTTTTTATTTAGGGTGGGGGTAGGGTATCTTAGTTTATTTCATTGTGTTCTTTTAATTTGTGTTTTTCCACTTTTTTTAAATGTTAAATTGATCATTATTTGTGAATTGTCACTTTACATTTTATAGTATTGTGTTTTGTTTTCTTCATTTTGTGAAATAATGAGGCTATAATGAGGGTCCATTTTTTGGTGCTAGATTGGGTCCAGGATGGTGTAAAGGAGGCCCCTGTAACTCTCAGGAGATATTTAATAAGCTTATTGCACCCACAAAACCCACTTTAATTTTGCCTTCCCCATTACTAAAGGAGGCCCCTGTAACCCTCAGGAGATATTTAATAAGCTTATTGCACCCACAAAACCCACCTTAATTTTGCCTTTCCCATTACTAAAGGAGGCTCCTGCAACCCTCAGGAGATATTTAATAAGCTTATTGCACCCCCAAAACCCACCTTAATTTTGCCTTTCCCATTACTTCTAACGCATTTCCCAAAATTACTAAAATTTTGCCCAAATCTTCTAGATTTAGAAGATTTTTTTCACAATTTTTGCGATTTTGAAAAATACATTCAAAGTAACGGGGAAGGCAAAATTAAGTTGAGTTTTGGGGATCCAATAAGCTTATTGACTTTTTGAATTCGTGCGCACAAATTCTGCCAATTTAGGATTGAGAAAAAGTGAGATTTCTCATTTCCCCAACAGGTCAAATTTGATCAAATTAGAAATGAGAGATCTAAATTTCACTCATTAATAAATTGTCAGCATTCGTGCACACAAATTCAAAAAGAACACATTATAAGACAAATAATGGGGCTTTTCCGGTGCTGGCATATTATTACAGTGATCACAATTGGATATAAGCACCTAAAAACCCATTTTTTTGCCTTATTTGCTTCGCTTTGAATTTTTGGGGGTGTGGTAGTGTTTTTCTTCCAACTTACCCAACAAACTTTGTTACTGTTATGAGAATTCATTTTAAAAGCTTAATTCGTGATCACCTATATTGACTGAGAGTGGATTTTTCACAATAAAAGTTGTACTTTTGTTCGGGGGAATATTTTCACCCTATAAGGGGGCGTATTGATTTTTCGGTAAAATCAGCTGACTTCGGCGTTCTGTGGAAGTTTTTTTTT